GAAAACGAGCTTCCCAGACAAGAAAAAGCTGAAGGAGTTCATCACCACCAAACCAGTATTACAGGGGAATTTCAAGGAAGAAAAAATCAAGAAATAAAAAATATGAATAATAAAATGGCAATACCTACATATCTATCAACAAGTACTTTAAATGTAAGTGTATTAAATGCTTCAATCAAAAGACAAATGGATAAAGAAGATATGGTACATGTATACAATGGAATAATAATCGGCCAGAAAAAAGAATGAAACCTTACCATTTGTGACAACATGGATGGACCGAGAAAGTATTATGCTAAGTGAAATAAGTCAGACAGAGAAAGACAAATACTATGATTTCACTTACATGTGGAATCTAAAAAATAAAATAAATTAACAAACAGAAACATACTCATAGATACAGAGAACAAACTGATGGTTGCCAGATGGGAGGGAGATTGGGTAGTGAGAGGAAAAATGTGAAGAGATGTGGTACATATGTAAAATGGAATATTACTCAGCCATAAGAAAAGATGAAATAGTGCCATTTGTGACACCATGGATGGATCCTGAGATTATCATACAAACCAAAATAAGTCAGACAGCAAAAGTCAAGAACCATATGATTTCACTCATATGTGAGATATAAAATTGAAAGCAACAAACGAACAAGATAAACAAACAAGGAAAAACTCATAGACACAGGAAACAGTTTAGTGGTTACCAGAGTGGTAAGGAGGGAAGGACGGTGGTACAAGGGGATAAAAGGGGTCAAATATTATGGTGATGGACGGAAAACTGACTCTGGGTGGTGAACACACAATGCAATATATAGATATATATTATAGAAATGTACACTTGAAACCTATGTAATTTTACTAAGCAATGTCAATCCAATAAATTTAATAAAAGTTAAAATTTTTAAAAGGTTAAATAAAACAAGAACAAAAAGAAACTTACTAGTAATAATTTAATAGTTCAAGGGAAATAAATTGATAATGGAATGTCAATTTTTACTTAATAGGTTAGCAAAAGCTAAAAATTCTAACATTATCAATAGTTAGGAAAGATAAGGGGAAATTCACAATTGGTAGGATGGTTAGGGTATAGCAACTATGGCAAACAATTTAATATGTACACATCTTACTATCTAGAAATTCATATTCATGCATGAGACATAGGATATCCAATGCAGCATTGCATGTAATATAGAAAAATTGAAAATGACTTGTCTATTCATTGGCATATCACTAAATTCATTTGTTTATTAAACAAATATATACTGAATGGCTGCTAAATGCCAAAACTAGAGACACAGCAGTTAATACTACAGACAAAAATGCTTGCCTTCATGTAGCTTACATTCTTGTAGAAGGGAGACATATAACAAAGAAGTACTTAACGTTAGATGGTAGTAAGAGATATGGAGAAAAACAAATCTGGGACGGGATAACAGGAGCCCTGGGAGAGACAGTGTAATTTTTAAAAGGATGGTCAGGGAAATCCATAGACATTTGAATAAAGACTTGAAAGAAGTGAGCAAGTAAGCCAAGTGAATATAGGAGTTAGAGGTGGAGAGAAGCGTGTACCAGGCCTTAAAAATAAACTAGATCAACATATAGCAACATAGATAGATCTCAAAAAGATAATGTTGAGTTAAAAAGGCTGTAAAAGAAAATGTGCCACATGACATTTTAAGAAATAGCTTTAGATATAGGTAGATAAAAGTACAGAAAACGCAGATAAAACTAAGAAGGAAAAACACCAAATTAAAAATAGTGGTTGGTTCTGGGAAAAAAGGAATTAGAATGGGACTTGGATAGGGAGTCAGATGATACTTTAGCTTTATTGCAATATTTTATTTCTTTGATGTAAAACAATAGAATTCACTCAAGCATAGCAGACTGTTAAATATAATACATATAGTAACTATGATATAAAGATCAATGAGTGTGGGAGAGGGGAACCTATATGGTTGCAAGGTGTCTTTCTACATTTTACTTGAAGTGATATAATATTAATATGCAGTATACTGTGAAAGTTTAGGTATGTATATTGTAAGTCATAGAGCAACTACAAAAATAAGGATATATCCAAAAAGACAATATATAAATTAAAATGTATTATTAAAATATATTCAAGCAATCCAGAATAAAGCAGGAAAGAACAGGGGGGAAAAAACCATAGGGAACAAACAGAAAACAAATAATGAAATAATAAGCCTAAATCCAACTATATCAATAATTACATTAAATGTAAATCATCTAAACACAGCAAATAAGATATTGGCAGACCGCAATTAAAAAAAAAAGACCTAACTGTTGTCTACAAATAACCCATTTTAAATATAAAAACGTAGAAAGATGAATTAAAAAATAGGAAACGCTATATCACACAAAAACTAATCAAAAGAAAGCTGAGTGACTATATTAATATCAGACAGAATAGATTTCAAAACAAGGATATTACAAAGGACAAAGAGAAATAGTATATAATGATAAAAAGAGTCAATTCATCAAAAACACATAATTCTAAATGTGTATGCTCCTAACAGAGCATCAAAGCATACAAAGTAAAAATACACAGAAGTGAAAGGAGAAATAGACGAATCCACAACTATAGAGACATCAATGCTCCTCTCCCAGAAATCACAGAATTAGTAGAGAAAGCGAGTAGGAACATAGAAGACCTAACTAAGAAAATTAGCAGCCAACCTGATATAATTGACATTTATAAAACATTCCATCCAACAACACATGTTAAATGTTCTTTCATAAGTGCACATAGGACATGCACCAAGATATTCTGGGGCAAAACAAACCTCAACAAATTGAAAAGAACTGAAATCTTAAAAGTATGTTTTCTGATCATAATGAATTAAAAAGTGCTATATGGTAGCTTACTTAGTTAACTCCGTTGTTTTCACTGTTTGACTTGGCAATTTTATACATCCAGAGTATATTGTTACATAACCAAGTTGACTCTTGTTTCCAAATGACCTCAAAGCTTAGCAGTGATTTAAATGCTTTCAGAGAATGTTCTGGTGCACAATGCACATTTGAGTATCATAGTTCTCTCTATTTTCAATGGAAATAAGTCCAAAAGGCAAGTAACTTATATTTACAATGTGTTAGAAAGGAACAACAGTTTCATCTTGGACATTTCACCTCCTGTACTTTAAAACACTTAGGATGCAATTCTTTAATTCTGAAGTATTCCATGTTTTCATTTGATTTACAATCTAGAATCGCTATTTCAACTTTTCCTTTATTCTTTCAGTCACAGGAACTTGAGCAATGAGTTTTGTCACACAGATGTCTAACATATTCTAAAACACTGAATAATAGTGCAAACACCTTTGGAAGCAAGACGATACACGTGATAGATCAATGATCATCAAATAACCTCAATGCACCAACTGTGAATTGAGCAGTAAACGCTACTCCTGAACCAGTGAATAGTCATACATTCAAGTACCAAGTTGGCATTTTGTTATGACACATGATTTCTTAAAGGCAGATTATCACATAAAAATCATGTAATTAATAAGCATTTCTTATTAAAATATAAATGTTATAAGGAAAAATATACCTAGCATAATTTTTCCCCACCAATGACCACGTAGTAATCTCTCACGAAACTCTGCCTAGAAACACAATTTAGGAAATGCTGCCTTAAGGTTTACCTTGACTAGTAATTTAGTGTTACTGATCTTTTTTAATTTCCTGGTCTGAAGTAACATCCATCGTGTTCTGAAACTGTTGAAAAACACTGGTTCGAGAAAACTGTTTAGAATGTGAGATGAAAAGCAGAGCTTAAGAGAGAAAACACAGGAAATACAGTCAAATGAAACTATGACCATATAGACAAATGGATCTCATTTATGGACGTGTGGGGTCAGGTTTTTGCCCCAGCTGACAAGTTGGACTGTCACAATTCTAGGGTGGGTCACTTCCAAATTCTCTGCTCCGTAAAAATTCAAAGGAGAGCCAACTTTTAAGGACTTGTATACCAGACTTCTAATCACTGCTCCCATGCCTTTTCAATACAACGGAACACCACTAGGGGGAGAAACACGCAGAAAACCGGACCCTAATCAGTAGTGATCTCAAACCGCAACGGATCTCATTACAGTACTCTCAAGCAAAAAGAAGAGGCTACTATAATACGCAGCACCCAAGCACAACCTTCAATCTAATTTGTACCCAAGATGGCTTTTCTGTAGTCTCCGTGGGCACTACGTGGAAAAAAAGCACCTCTTCTGAATAGTCACAGTTAAACCCTACAAGCTGATTCAAATCTGGAAAAAAAACAAAAACAAAGCAAAACAAAACAAAACCCCAAAACCAAAAAACAACAAAACACAACGGGGGTATTGCAAAAGGTCTCCCAGGAATGAGTCCAAGGACTGCGGAGGGCTGTGGCAATGCATTCCTCTTTCGGGATGGTCTACAACTTAACCTTATGTTAACAGAAGGGCGCGCAGCAACGTTTTGTAAAAGGCCTTCTTTCTAGTAGTATCCATAACCACTTCTGGTTAGCCACTGACAGCGGCGGTTAGCCACCGCGCCCCCTTCTCTAGCCCCCAAACGAGAGGAAATCTCATTTCCTCTATGGGCGTAAAGTGGATGAATTCACTTGCTGCCAATACCTCCCCCCCGTTTCTATACGCCTACCCTAGCCCGCCTGATGCTGGGAGAAACTGACACATGACACATATGCCGTCCTAGGACGGATGACACATCCTCACCACTGCAAAAGAGGGAGCATTAAACACACGCACTCCAGAAAAACAGCCCCAACACCACCTGAACTTTGGGCAGAAAAACAAGGCGCAGCCGCACTGGCACATTGTTACCGGATTTGCCCACAACCCCCTCCCGGTCCCCGCAATTTCACTTCCCCATTGGCACATCTGCTTCCGGGGCATGGTAGGCCCGGCCCCTCCTAAGCTCGTACCCTCCTCTGCCCGAGGAGGGGGGAGAGTCGAGGGGGTGGGGAAGAGTTCGTTGTTTGTTTACACGATGTGAGCGGAAAAGGAGACTAATAAAGTTTATTCTGGAAACAAAAGGAAAAAAAAAAACAGGGGTGACAGAGAAAGGAGACGGGGGCGGGGGCGTGTGGCGGGGGCTAGCGAGCAGAGAGAACGAGAAGGAGAAAGCGGCAGTTCCGGTGCCGCCGCTGCGGCCGCTGAGGTCTCGGGCTGCTGCTGCTGCTGCTGCGGCCGCTGGGGCTGGGGCCGCCGGCGAGGCAGGGCTCGGGCCCGGCCGGGCAGCTCCGGAGCGGCGAGGGAGAGGGGCCGGGAGGCGGGGGCCGTGCCGCCCGCTCTCCTCTCCCTCGGCGCCGCCGCCGCCGCCGCCGCCCACGGGGCTGGGACCCGATGCGGCTAGAGCCGCGGAGCCTGGAGGAGCTCCGAGCGTGAGTAGAGCGCGGACTGGCTGGGAGCGGGCGCGGTCGGGATGGGGACCGGGTGGGTGCTGTGGGCGCTCCGGCGCGCCCGCCGTCTTGGGCGGGGGCTGCCGCCGGTTGTCTTTCCCAGCGTCGGCCCGCAGTGGAGTTTGCCTGCGATCGCCGCTCCCTGTCCCCGGCCTGCCGCTGGCCTCACCCAGATGCAGATACGAGGGCTCGCCGCTCCTTCTCTTTTCTCCTTCTGGCCGCTGTCTCGCTCCTCGTTTCCTTCCTCTCCCATTTTTGGGGATGAGGCAGCTGGAGACTGAGGAAGTGCGCCCAGGGCCGCCGCCCCGGCCGCGGGAGCGGGGTCCCCCGTGCCCCTGCACGCCCACCCGGCCCGCGGGCGGTCGGGCTGTCTAGAGGACCGCGCGGTGAGGGATCCCGGCGCGGAGCTGCGAGCTGGTCCTGCAGGGCTGTCACGCCCGAAGACTCCGGCCTCGCCAGCCCGGCGCCCCTGCGTTTGCCTCGTACTGGGTTTAAATCGCCCGGCTGGGGCAGGGAAGGAACACCGCTCCCCCCACCCCGCAGTTCTCCTCCCACCCTTTCTTTCGAGGTTTTTTTTGGGGGTTTGTTGGTTTTTTTGCTTGTAACCGAGACGATCAAACGTATTTCATTCATAGACTTGACACATTGTCTCCGGATTTGTGTCTTGCCTGAGTCTATTCTGTGATGTCTGTTTCGTAGCTCCTAAGTGGTTCGGAAAGACAGGGTAGCGCCCGGGATCGGGCCGTGTCAACACCAGACGGTCAGCCAGTGTGTTTTGACCGCCGCTTGAAGGGTTTATTTTAGGATGCTAAAGAATAGTGGCGATGGTAGCTAGTTACCAGACTTGGGAATCGAAAGCCACTTTCTCAGACGTCAGTAATTGGGGAGCCGTTTATAGAGTTACGCGAAGGGTAAGGGGAGCGCGACAAGAGCGGCTTTTAGAAATCCGCTTGCATATTGTTTAACGAGTTGCAATTTCGTTTTTGGTGAAGCTTCCTCATCTTAGTGCTGCGCCTTTGTTGCACATGCGGGGACATGAGTTGGCGAGACGATATTTTGAATCGTAGTTTGTCAAGCCTGGGAGAACCCCTGGGAAAGTTGGGTAGATAGACTCCTTGGTAATTCCAGTTGGCTTCTACGTCCACGTTTGAGCACCGAGGGCAATATTGGTCGCGTGTTTCCCTGCTTAGAAACTAGATTCTCTGGTTATTTGCTTACACTGCGCTGGACAAAATTCATGTGTTGGACTGCGTGTTAAGAAAAGACCTGGAAAATACTTAAGATACCCTGTTGCTAATTTAATTTGGATAAATGAGGACACTTTTGTCTTTATTGATGGACTCTTGAAGCAAATGCAGCACAAGAATTTGTTAATGTGTATTCAAACTTTAAGATTTTTTTAAACTGAAGAATTGATTTCTGGTTGACAGCATAGATCTCTATCTAAACATCACGTGTTCTGGAAAATTTTAAATATCAGATTAACTGTTCTGCAATGTCATCAGCCAAAATTATCTGAAGAGGGCTCAGTGGTGTGTGTGTGTGTGTGTGTATGTATTTTTTTAAGTTTTCTCATCTCGTGTTTTGAGGTAAAGTTAAATAAAACTTCATCGATAACTTTTTCAAAAGTTTCTTGTGTTTCCCATCATTGTAAAATAGAGTGCTTTCCTACTAAAGTCACAGAATAGGTGATTGAAAGAAACGAGAGCATATCATAATAGTAATAGCATCATGAGGGAAATAGCAAGAATGTAAATGAATATTAATAATATTTTATCATTGACTAGGAGTATAAAGTTTGAAAGGCATTCCTATATAAGTTTTAGTTGAAGAATTAATGAACCACATATAACGCAGAAGTGTTTTTATATATCTAATTTTTAAAAAATTGTAAGTAAATTGGATATAGCATGAAAGAAATGACACTAAGCACAAACACTGTACTTAAACTGAAAAATTACTGCATGCAAGTGTATATTCTCATGGGGCTAGATATATATATATATATATAAAAGGGAGACTGTGAAAGAGCAGTGGCTCTGCCAGGCTCTGTGTATGGAACAGTCCTGGAGACAGAGCTTCCTTCCTGTCAGGATAAGATCCTCTCTATCCCAAATAAGTATTCTCTTAAAAAAAAAACCAAAAAACCCCCCCTAAATTTATAAATAAAATACTTACATAATAAGGTAGATCATAATAACTTTTTCCTAAAACAGTTTACTTTTTTTGTGTGTTGCTTTCCTTATTAGTACCTTTTACTGAGTAAAGATTTTTAAACAATTGCTATTACCACTTGAAGGGCATTTGCTCTGTTGATCTGTTTATCTGAAAAGAGCTAACTTAATCCCATTTGATCTCTTTAGCAACTAGAGTAGCATTGAAGAATCAGTTCCATTTTATTATTTTTAATAGCTTGAATTCCAAGGTAGGGGCGCTTCTTTAGATGAAGCATCATAAAAGATTTCATGTCTAGTGAAATATTTATGACCTTAAAATTTGTGCAACTTTAGCAGCCTCAGTTTTGGAATATTGTGGTTTTTATTTTATTAGCACAGTTATCAAGCTGTTTTCTTAAGTATTATTTATCCTGAGTATTACAACAATCCTGTAGACAAGGCAGTATTACTATCTCTGAGAAATGACATTTTAATCTAAGGTCAAACAGGTGTCAGGGACAGACCCATTGACAAAAACCAATGTTTTCTGACTTCTTTCACTATACCATGCTATTTCTAACCTGCTCCAACCTGCTTTTTGATAGATTTTTTAAAAAAAACTAGGGCCCAGAGAAGTTTAGTTACTTACAATCACCTTTTATTTGCAGTATATTTTTAATTCCCTATATAGCTTAAACAGTTGTTTTCAATCCTGGCTACATATTAGAATCATCTAGTTAGCTTTTAAAAATTACCAGTGCCATGGTCTTATTCCCAGAGATTCTAATCTAATTGGTCTAAGATGGAGCGCAGACATCTGTGTTTTGTTTGTTTTCAAGTTCCCCAGGTAATTCTAGTAGACAAAATTGTAAAGCCCTTACTTTCAAGGACCTGTATGATTTGGTCCTTCTCTGTCTAGGTTCATTTCTCCTCCCTCCTCCCACAGCTCCCTTGCCTTTCACTGTTCTCATGTGCAAATGCTGTTTGCTCTACCTGAAACGTTTCCATGCTCCATACCTCTTCCCTAACTAGCTGACTCCTACTCGTCTTTCATATCACCGCCTTTGAAAAGTCTAGTCTGGGTTAGGTGTCCCTGCTTCCTGTTCCCATAGCATCTTGTACTCCCACTGTCATAGCATTGACTCAATGTATTATAATTGCCTATTTATTTGTCTGTATCCTCCGCCAGGATGTAAATTCTGTAAGGATAGGGACTCCTTCTGTCTGATATACAGTTCATTCTTATTGACAAGCACAATAGCCAATATATAATACTTACTAACTTACTAACTGAATAAATACATTTATTGGCAACAGGCTTTTTTAGAGCATGTAATAATTTATAAATACCAATTATGTTTTTATTCTTGCCAAATACATTTAATAATTTTGTCACTAAAAATGTACATCCTTGAACTTGCCACACATAAGAATTTCATTTGAGACAGTAGAGATGTTATAAGTTATATATAAATTATATCAAGAATGATAACCCCACATACACACATGCGCACGCAAGAATAAGGATCATTATTGTGCACAAAACTGCACTGGAAATCAAAAGACTTGAATTCAGATCCCAGTTTCAGCACAAGTGCTGTGTACTTGAACAAGATTCGTTCTTTTTGCGCCTCGGTTTTCTCATCTGTAACAAAGAGGAATTATACTGGTGCTCTACTTGGTACTAGTGTGACACTAGTTAGTGATCTAGGCTTAAAATCTTATGAGTACTAAAAATACTAGTTTTGGAATCTGAAGCTCCTTGATTCAAAGCCTGGCTCTTAGGCTTACAGGATTATTTTGGACAGATGTGCTTATCTGTAGAATGGGAGTAATTGCTACTTGCTAGTGGTGTTGTTGAATTAAATGAGATAATATAGACCCAAAAGAGGTTTTGTCTTTGATCAGGTGCATAATAAATGTTTATTTTCTTCCCTCTTAGGAAGTGTTAGAGCTCATGAGTGGATGTATTTGAGATAACAGAAAGACAGTTGGTGTAATAAATCCTATTTTCTACTTTGCTAAGTACTAGTGTTACAGGCGTGGCTAGGGACCAAAACCACTGTGGCTTTTAGTTTCATTTTTTTTAGAATCCCACCCCAGTGTCAAACACCAAGGTGTTAGTCAACCTGCTTGGAAAATAATTATGCCTAGATGTTTGAACCATGACAGGGTAGCAAGTGCCATGCTATCAGTACATCCATAATATAATACATACTATGGGGGAGGGGAGAATCTAAACTGATGACCTTAAACCATCTTCAAAGATAAGTAAAATCAGACTTGACCATTCCAAAAGAAGGGGACAAATGAAAACTTACTGATTTACGAAAGAACACCCAGAAATTTTGGTGAAATCTCTGTTCACCAAAGCTTAAAATTCAGGAACCATTATTTAGTAATTTCCAGGAGATATAGGCAATAGACCTCTGGTCAGGAGCGATTCTAGAAGATAAGATTGTTCTCAATGTCAGATTAGCAGTTTCAAATATCAGTTAACAGACTGAAGTTATTGATATTTTTCTCTATTTGGGAGCCATGTTTCTTAATTTTATATAGTTATCTTAGCTTTTATTTACTTGGTGATAGAGAGTAACCTTACACACAATGTAATACCTCTTTGCTGAAGTTTCTTGATACCAGTTTTATTTTTGTATAAATCAAATTGACTTGCCTAAGTTTTTCCTTAAGTTTACGTTTAAAGTGAATTTTATTAACAGTCTTTTTGGAAAGAATACTATAGTAAAAATGAAAAACTGGATAGGAGAAACTGAAATATTAGGGCATGAAAAAGAAATATGAGAGAACACAGTGAAGTCTGAGGAT